ATAGGCTACGAAGCTAATATTTATGTGCAGTTAACTGCATTTAATCCCACTTTATTAAGACACTAATAAATAACATTCAGTGTTAACAAATGTCACAAGAAGTGATGTAATTATCAAATAGAGAGAACCTGTGTGATTTCATTGGAGTTCTAAATGTAGCTGTTGTGTGAAGAACTTGTAGATTTGCTACAGAACATAAGTGATCAATCAATATTATGGAGTCCAAGTAACGCAGCACAATGTGTGGACAAGTTTAAGAATAGTTATAAAAACAATATTCCAAGCCTCAAAGATTTCACAGAGAAACATTCATTTTATCAAATTAAAATATATTTTTAAAAAAGTATGTCACAATTCTAAGTCCAGCAAGATACTGCCCTACACTTTTACCTCAACAATTTTCAAAGTAAAAGAGAGAAAAGAAATAATTAATTATTGGTCTTTGAGTGAAGTCAAGTGCAAAATCTTCTGAAGCAAAATTTAATTATGTACCAAGGAAATTAACTGTAAGTTCTCTAGGAAGCAATAGCAATTAAGGATCAGAATGGCAGCTAGCATTTGTGCAACCCAAATAGTATTGGTCAACCATTTGTCTCTGCATACATTTCAAAATATGGAAATATCTATGATAATGGAAATGAACCCAAAGTCAGGCCGCTTCCTATTTTGTTGTTACTAAAGGTGGTAACAGATGGTTAGATCCATATTTTTCGTGGGTTGTCAAGCTTATGGTGCAGTACAGTGTGTTTATATATACACACAAGTTCAAGACCGCTGTTGTTCTGCTGTGACTCAAGTCTAAAAACTGACATCTTTGCAGCAGGGAGGAAAGAAACATGCAAGGTCTTGTAAACGCGTAGCTACTGCTCAGTCCCTCTCATCTGAGTCACCCTGTATCTTAATTAGTCTGGAAACAGCATAAACTCACTTGTAGACAGAAGACAGATTGAACGCGTAAGGTGAAATTCACTTCTTCATAAATTTGGCATCCCAAATTTAACAGACTTTGAGCCATTTTAAATGTAGTACTGCATGTGTCTGTGTGTGCAGCAGCTCTAGCCTTTTCAAATGGACATTAATTTGCTAAATATATTGATAGTTTTTCATTATTTGTCTTCACCTAAAACCTATAATGTTTTTACAAGGCAGTTACTTTAGATAGAAGCATTTATCACCTGTATTTCTTCATATTCACAATAGTTAAAATAATAAGCTAATTATGTCTGAAGACAAAGATCTGAATCAGAAGCAGGAAAGTGAGACACGTGGTTGGCAAGAGAGCAAAGAAATCGATCCTGAGTAGCTGAGTTAATTTCTAAGCCTAAGCGATTAATCGATAAATGTAAAGATGACCGTTAATATCTGATGGTGTGGGAAGTTGTAAAACACACACATGGATTTTTATGTGATAATGTTTACTCATTGGGCATGTAAAAAAACTAGACAATGCAATGTTGACGAATACTTTAACACAAGAAGTGCTTGTGAATGTCTGAGACATTAGAATGCTGGAGCTGTTTCTAGATGTATTTTTTCCTCCAGGAGTCGGTCTTACTGCACGGTTGAATAGAACATGCGCTGTTTCCTCCTGACAACATGGATATGTCAGGGATTTTTATAAATAGCTCAGTAGCACGTGTCTGCAGCATACAGTGCACTCAGGAGGCATGGAGCATGATTTTTTTTTAGCACACAGACAAGCCAAGGAAATAGGCAGAGGAACATTATGATTTTGAGAGATTGAGAAACATAAAAAAATATGAAACTGCATGAAATGTAATGTGACTGCCCTTGTCCAGTAAAAGAAGCACGTAGTGCCCTATAATATGTTTTGAAGTGGGATTCATAATTTTAGCAGAACCAATCATTTTACTTGAAAAATTTTCCAGATGTGCCAGCAGTCATTCTAGGCTGTTTACTGGTAACAAGATATGAATTTTATTTTCATTTATTTTTTTTATGTTCAACCTATAAAAACTTTCCATTATAACATTCCGATAGCTTAGACTTCTCTCAAAGACATGCTGGTAAACATGACATTTTAGTGAATAATAGTACTGTGTTGTCCTTCCCCAACCTGTTGCTGCTGCCTGTGGATTATATGGCAGATGGAAAGCTCTTCAAGCCAAATTTGGGTTTTCTGAAACATTTTCAGTCTTGAAAATATACACTGTCATGCCATGGAAACAGATTTATTAAAACAGGTAAAAGTTTCTTATAGGACTTTACTTAGTTTATTGCCTAATTATTAGGTAGATCTATAAATCAAAATGACAATAAATATTTTAGATCACAATATTATGTCTGGAATATTTAATTTTTAAGCTGTAATGGTGTGAAACAAGTAATTTTCATACACATTTGCAAAACTGAGAATTTAAAAGAATTGTATCATGTCAACATTTAAATTAAATGCATCTTAAATTGATGATTGTCACTTTCTTTTATATCACTAACAGGAATACCTAGCACTAGTTTTAATCCTCCACATCCTTGTTTCAGATCAAAAACCCTTTACACCACACGATGCACTAGTATTTTTATTATGTTGCGACACTCCTATGATCTTTTGATGGGGAATGTTTCTATACATAGTCTGTTATACTTATTGTTTTTGCAGCACTCTGAAAATAACTGTTCATCAGCGAAGTGAGTCTGCCTTGAGATTATGACACATTCTGATGAGCAAGCAACCCACCTTTCTAGTTCACTGCATCTGTTTTATCCATTACAGATTATATATAACATGAGTGTTTCTGGGTCAGACAGCATCAGTGCTGTGGTTCATTTAAACAAGCTACAAGGGGTTTGGGTGTTGTGAGGTTTACATGCAGTAGGTTAGGGAAGGTTTGGAAAACAGTACAACATAGTAGGGGGTTAACTCTTAGTGACGCAAACTAAGGTTCTTCGTGGGGATATATTTATGCCTCTCAGTTATCCTAACCACAAAGGAGGGTGACAAACAATTCATGTTATTAGCTAATACCAAAACCTGACGTACATTTGTTCCCGTCTGAAGGCAAATGCATGTTTTTTTCAAATGTACAAGTATATTAAGACATTCTTTTATGATTGAGTGGGGAACACTGAGTGAAATTTTTAAAAGCTTTGGAATTTATGTGGTAGGTGTAGCCCATTAGTTTCAGTAAATGGCTTTTAGCTGTGTAATGAACTGTACATTTGATGCAATGTTCCCAATTTAACTTCCAAGCTTCAAAGTAGTCCTTTCTTTATTTTTTTTTTCTTTTCTGCAGCAGCATTATGATCAAGGATTACTATTTCATATAAACTGCATATAAAATACAGGGTTTTTTAGTGTGTCAAGATAGATGCATGAATGGATAAAGCAAAAGACATATGCAATTTAGTATTGGCAATATTCTGCTATAAAAGGCACATATTTGTCATTTTGGTGAATTCCTATAATGAGAACACTCTTCACACTGTCTTGAAAATATGAAAACAGGAAGAATCATTGGCACATGTAATTATTCAGACAGAATAATCTGAGGATATCCAACAAGTATCAAATTCTTGATACAAACAAAATTGTAGCTCGAAGTTATTGTTTCTTAGCAATGTAATTTCTAAAGACTGTAAAGTTTCCTTTACCAGATTCATTTGACTGCTTATGGTACATTTCAGTTGACTGCTGAGCTCATAATTATGTTAAATGTATGGACTGTATGTAAGGTTTGCTCAGACACAGAACTAAGTTTTGTATTGTTTTGTGTTCATTCAGTTTGCAGTTTTCACCACAGCATGTAAAGAGGAAGCCAACAGTAAATGGTCAACCTTACTTCACTTCTCCCTCTCATCATTTGCTGTGGTTTAACTCGGTGTTTAGTCAGAGTTGACACACTCTTGATGCGAACATTACAAGTTCTTTGCTCTGTTGGGTGTGTGCAGGGACTCTTATTTGACAGCACAGTCTTGATTGAACAATGATTCCTTCCCAAGCTGTTGGTATATTTCTATGTTTTTAAGCCTAGCCTGATGTTCTTTTTCTGTTCACACAATGTACCAAACTGTTAATTTGCCCACCCTCCTTCCTTTCTCTCCGAGTACACATCTTTTGACTGCAAAACCAAATAAGCCTGATCAGCTTCACAGCACCCCTGTTCGTGAAAACAGTAAAATACAATTTGTTCAAAATGGACATATATTTTTAAAATGTACAGATTATTTTTTTATTATTTTTATAATTTATGTGTATCTGACATTTATATCCTTGATAAGCAGTCGAGAAACATATGGTGAGACTTTAGTATAAACAAAGATCAACATAGTTTAGTTCATGTGGACGGAATTGAAAAAAACATTAACTGGTATAATAAAATGAAAAAAAAAGGAACTTAATTTTGTTTCAAATGACCCGAGTGTTAAAAGAAGTCTGTGGCTTGTGATGCAGCATCTTTATAGTCATGACCCATCTGTTGTGACCCATGTGTCCCACAGGCAGAACACTGACAAACAGAACAAGACAGCAGCAGCGTACAAATGAGTTGAGGCAGACTGTGATAGGGAATATGGGGGTATGGTTTATTTTAGCGTATTTATAGCTCAGGTGGAGTGAGGGAATGGTTTTTTATTTCATTTTTTAAAATAAATATTTCTTTTAAATGGTCCACACAACAACGCCTAGTTTCATAAAATGTTATACAAGAAGGCAAATTGCGAATTAATAAAATACATTAATTATTTTAGCTGGTATAAAAATTAAATTTTTAGTTTTTTTTTGTTTTGTTTCACTGTTTATTCCCTCAATTGAGAAATGGTGAAGCTGGCTGTAGTTGTTGCCATCAACATTTCTTGTTTTGTAAATGACAAAATTGGAAAGAAAAATCATATTTTGTACTTTGCTTTCTTTACAGTCAAACTATTTGGGAATTCCCAGAGATGACTTTGAATGCTACCTATAAAATATTTTATAAGTTTGAGAAAACTGGAAATATGATGTTGCATGTCTTTTGTGAACCACCCACATGTTTTGTCACCAGGTTTATCACCATGAAGACCAGATTAGGCTGTCTCTCCAAAAAATCAGACTCCTACAGTGACTTCTCGGAGTTCCTGCCTCCTGCTCATGAGACCACAGCAAGATGTCTGAAGTGAGTCTGATGCCCAAACACAGCGTTTTGTTTCTGTTTGTCAAGTACTTTCACAGGCCAATGAAGGAAAAACCATTCCACTTAAAACATAATATGCTGTTTCGCTATGTCAGTATGATCTTTAGAGTAGATTACTAATTTTTTAGGCCAACAATTTGCATCATCGACTTTTTAAAATGTTTGTTCCAAATACCATATTTCCACAGATGAAGTGTTGGTCTCTGGAGCTCCTCTGATTATTTTATTGGAACTGTTTTTGTAAAATACCATTCTTGACTTAAGGAGAAACTGTGAACTATTATAGTAGACATAAAATGTTACATGGTTTCAGGAGTATTCAAGACAGCCATATTGCAACTACAAATTTCAGTGTAATTGATTGTGTTTTGGTCTTTCACCATCTAGAGAAGAAGATTCATTTAGAGCAGCAGATAGATCACAAAATAATCCCTTTATCAAAATGTCAAGACCCATGTTTGGTTCAAAAAAATCGATCAAAGCATAATGGCTTGTTACCATCTTAATGAGTCTCTTCTCTTTGGCTTTTTCTCCTTCAGACTATCAACAGACGAAGTTGTTCGATGGTCTGAGTCATTTGATCACCTTCTTGCTCACAAGTGTAAGTTTCTGTTTATTGCTCTTTATTAGAAACATTTATGATCATACAAGAAAGTTAAATATAAAGTAAAAAAAATAAATAAATAAAACAATAATAAGACCACCTTAATATGCCCGCAATAATATACTTTTTCTCTTTGTAAGTGAGGTTTCCTCTTGACATGACTTAACTCCAGTCGTCCCCCTTTCCAGCTCTTCTTATGTAAGCGTCTTATTTCTGTGTTGTCAGGGCTCCTAACTACATAATGAGTCACATACTTGTCACTGACCTTCCCCATTGGACCAAGCACAAATTGGGACAGACTTATCATCTCAGTTCCTTCTGTACTGACAGGTCATGTGTTTATTCTCAGTTAACAAGCACTGTGACGTGGCAGGCATGACCTCAAACCAGCTGAACTGACAAATGGAAAAGGACATGATCAGAGACCTAAGATCAATCTGTTACAATGTAATAAATACATTGTGCTAAACATCTGATAAATGTTTAAGTACTATCAGTTTGTTACCTCTTTCCTGTATGAATAAAGCCTTATTTACACAGACATTGTGTAATTTCATTTTAGTGAAATGAGAAAAGAGCCTTAATAGATATTAATTTATTGTTGAAATTAAACAAACCAGTTGAGATCTTTAAAAAAAGTAATTTAATGAAATTGACCAAATGTCTTCCTTGGAAACTCATTGGGAAAATTGTGCTTCCATAACCACCAAACATTAGTTTTTACTAATTCCAGCAGCATTTTGCGAGGCAAATTTATATCCAATTATTGTTGCATGTTGATGCTAAATAAATTGTATACAACTGTGACAAAGGTTTGTTTTTTCTAACCAACTATTAAACCTATACATACATTTACTTGCAAACTGCCTGATGATAAATCACTTCTTTTTAATACTTTGAATTGTGTTCACTATGCCTCGTGAGTTCCTCTGTAGCTCCTCCTCGCTAACAGAATTCATGTAATTTATCAACTGCATTCTTTTCATAAAAGTGCTTGGGAAGGGTTTTGCAGACTAATCAAAGCAAAACAAAGTGTTATATTGACATAATCTATTTACATTTGGTTGAGGTTATGACATAACACAACACTGGGTTAACACACGAGCAAAATAAGCATGGGACTTTCAACAGAGGCAAAAATAGAGATTTTCCCTGGCGCAAAATGATGTGACACACCTGCGTGTCCTGGACAGTTGACTGAGCATTAGCGATGTCCACTACAACATGTGCATGCATGTGCACAGACATGCATACGTGTTTCATAATAAATGAGATCACACGAGTGTTTATTTTATTAAATAAATAAAAAAATATATCAAAAGTTGACTCCCGGCCTGTTTGACTCAAGAACATTGCAAAGTCAACAGGCATTTCTAATTGCATTGCATCAGAGTTGCTGTCTGAATACTTTAAAATAACAAACGGACTCTCCTGAATCTCTTGTACTTGTCTGAGCTTTCTTTGTCTTTTCTATTTAAAGCTCCTCATGATTGCTCTGATTTATTTGCAGTAAAATTTAGTATCTCCAGAGCCTCAGTCATTTATTTTATCACATTTAAACTAAATAACTAAGTTCCCCATAACCTGTTTCTAACGAGTTATGGATTCCTAGCTTAGCTCATTCTCCATCTGTCCTTATGTCAACTTGACTGTCTCTTCTAGTCCCTTTGCGCTGCTCAGCTGCCTTCAGCTGTGAAATCGGTGCTCCACAATCTAACCTTTAAAAACAATCAGAACATATTCTTATGCAACGCTTGGCTAACAAAAGCATTTTACCTCAAATGACTTGGGCACTTTGGCTTAAGGTGGATAAAATAAATATTTAACTATTATTTTGTGTGTATATATATATATATATATATATATATTACTGAACACTTTAAAATCAGACAAGAGAACTGTGTTGTAAGTGACAATAGTAACAGTTTGACAGCATCTCTGAGTAAACTGATACCTACAGAGCAAGCTGTTGATTTTACATAAATAAGCACTTTTGGATGTTTGATCATAAACTCATGTAATGAGCTTCACTTTCAGGACAGGAAATTGTCAGCCATAAACCGTTACTGTCTCTGTGTATTGTACAATTTCTGATTACACTTTTGGCACTTTGTTTAATTTAAAAATATAACCCTTACATGTGATGTTGGGTCATTTTAAACTAAGAAGAACGATCTTTTGACACAACACATGTGGAACTTTAACCCTCCTGTTATGTAGTGGGTCAAACTGACTCGTTTTAAAGTTTTTTTGTTTTGTTTTTTAAATAGTTGCAAGCATTTTTTCTGCATGAAACTTTATTCTATTTGTATTTAGACCCGAATTTCAAACGTCTGCCTATATAAATCTTCCTTATTTTAATTGTAAGTAGTTATTTAAATGTCCTGTGAGATGATATACTTACCCATGTACCCATAACAACTGGAACTTTCAATATCCAACAAGTCATTTTCACAATTTACCGTCTATTAAACGAGTGCCCCCCGGATTAATTTCACTCTCTGCAGCTGCAGCTGTGAAATTACCGTAATAACCCGATATTGGCTGGAAAGTGCAACGTCTCCCCTTTCAGAAACCGTTGGAATTTTTCAGATAGCGCCAAGTGTGGTGGAATTACGGTACTGCAAATGTTTACATGTCGGCGGCGACAGGTTCGGTTCTAGAAGGGTTTTAATAGGTACACTCTACATATAAACTGAAAATGGTTCATTTTCCACATTTGCAACCCCCCCTACATAGATACTGTTCAGGTCAGTTTGATCCGGCAGTCAAGTTGAAAGGGAAAAAGCAGAAACAAATGAACCATATTTCACCACACTCACATGCACACCACACCACACACACACACACCTGCACACACACAAGCCCACTTTCTCACTATTCCCTTTCCTCCACAAGGAAACTGCGAGAAAGCAGGTGTTCATACAACTTTTGATGGGAACCTTTTCTGTTCCCGTGGGCAAACTCCACCCACACTGAGTGACACTGAGCAGCATAAATACTCTCCGCATGACTCATTTGTGTTGTTTTTAATCAATGGGTCAATTTGACCCAGATCAGAATGCATGCCTCACGTTCAATTATAAAGATCTTCCCTTGAAAGCAAAAATTAAAAATGTAATATATTTTTTTTTTACAAAAGATAAATTTCCAGTGTAGGTTTTTTTAGTGGACATAAAATATGTAAATTACCATTTTTATGTCCAAATGAGTAAACTGTCATCATTGATCTTTTATTTGTGAGAAATAATAATAATAAGTTTCTAACACTATTGCATGATTAAACACTCCACCGGTCAAATTGACCCAGGAACTTTATTGCTGTGCCTCAGAAACGAGCATAACAGGAGGGTTATATTGTAGACCACACTGTTTGTTGTTATCTTCCTATGCCCATTTGCGTTACTGTACAATTGGCTGAACAGCCCATTCGTGCTTACTAGCTTTGTCAGACAAACAAGAGAAATGAACAGGGTGGAAATTAAAGGTCAGCATGACACAAGCTTGTAGAAAAACATGCTCTTCTTCTGTCAGCATCACCTGTGAGAACATTAACTGATCACATGTCTTATTTTAAAACGTCAAAATATGTTTGTGGTGTGTGTTCTTTTTGTGTGTTTGTTTGTTTGTTTCTGCTTTAAGGATTAAAACATGACCAACTTCTCATGAAAATGCAGTCAAAAAATATCTAAACATAAGCTACACTTTTTATGGATCACAGTGAAGCCATCTCTTAATCATTGTATGTGTTTCATGACATGTTTTTGTTCTGTGTGTGTTATCTGTGTGCAGATGGGCTTGCTGCATTTCGAACATTCCTCAAGTCTGAATTCAGCGATGAAAACATCGAATTTTGGATGGCCTGTGAGGAGTACAAAAAAATCAAGAGCTCAACCAAACTTGTGTCAAAAGCAAACAAGATATTCAAGGAATTCATTGAGGTTCAGTCACCAAGAGAGGTGTGTTATCTCTGTATTTTGATGTTCACAGATAGAAGATTAAAACCATATTACAACTGTCTTTCTTCGGCCAAGACAAAGTTATAGCTCCATTTCTGAAATTTGACTACTTGTCAACCTAAGAACTTGAACACTGTGTTTTACTTTAATGGGAAAAAAAGTGTGCTGTCTTTAATCCTAATGGTTGTTATATCAGGAGCAATACAGAAGTTTTTAATACACAATCAATAAGTACAGCTTTGCAGCTTAATTTACTAAGGCATTCTCTTTACAAATTTGGCAACATTTAAATAAAAATATACTACTTTTTTAGCAGTTTGCATAATATTGCATAAAAGCATTAAAAATGCTGATGTGCAAGGCTGAGAAAGATACAATTGGCTTGCATTGATGTCAGTATTTAGTAAATGTTAGTGGTTTTTCAAAATTTAATTGGAAACTTTGAACAAATATTTTTAAAGCTAATGACCTGGTAGTTTGCTGAACTTTTTGAAATATTAAATTAAAAGAAGATGGAAAGTTGAAGTGCAGTTTCTGAAGAGTTGAACCATGTTTTTGTTTTGTTTTGGTCCATGGTCACATAGTGGTGCCACACCTAACTCTCACGCTAGTTCCCTTGTGTGTGTGTATGTGTGTGTGTGTGTAGGTGTGTGTGTGTGTGAGGCTGAATTGTGTTTTTTGACTAGACAGGAAAAAAAAAAAAGGGTGGTAGGCAAACAAAATTATTTGCTTCTGGTCACACGTAAAAAGTTGACAGCTGTTCTGTTTCTTTCACTGCTGACAGCATTGTGAAACTTTTTTCTTTTTTTTTAAACTCGCAATGCTACTTCTCTAAAATTCAGATGTAAACGATCCGTTTATCTCATACTGTCTTGACAGGTGAACATTGACTACAGGACAAGAGAGAAGACCAAACAGAGCCTGTCAGATCCCACTCCAGCCAGTCTCAATGAAGTCCAGGGTAAAATCTACAGCCTCATGGAGAAAGACTCTTACCCACGATTCCTCAGGTCCAAAATGTACCAGGATATTGTCAACAGGGCACATGCGCAAGGTCAGCGGAGGTCTGTTTGACCAATACTGCAGACCACAGTGGACCAAAACCAGGACCTATATGGTATATCATTCTTTGTCCCTTTGACACCATATCAATACTGTGAATAAGCAAGAATGAAATGACCTGCTTGACTGTTTTCTGTACACCTGTTCCAAGCATGCAATCCCCATAGAAAGATCATATCTCTTTGAATTGCATCATATAGTGAGGAGACTCCTGAGGGACATGTCGGGAAAACTCATATCCTAAAGTAAATCTGCATCATTCAACAAACGTATTTATTGCTGTATAGGTCATTTTAAAAATTGTCACAGTGATATAAAATAGACAAATAATGTTTTATTGAAACTGAATAGAGATAAATGAATTGATATCATCTGTTGGGATGTGTTCTAGGAGAAATAGCACTTACCTTTTTGTCACTTCTTGTCAAAGTGTTACTGTGTCTCAATTTGGATGTTTTTCTTTGTGCAATACTAGTGCAATGCTGCATGGTGCCAAGAGTACTTACTGCATGCATGCAGTGTCACATTTAAAAGAATGGTTTTCTCTCCAATAAAACTGGGGATGATAAACAGCTACACACTTAAAATCTGGCTAAACTTGTTGTGCCATCTAGTAAGCCTCTGATTCCAAATATCAACCTTATCAAAATGTCTCATTGAAAGGCTTTGAAAATAGCTTTAAAATTATCTGCCACTATTAGCTGAAAGTGCATTACTGCTTGCAACTAATAAGTACTAGTGCAACTGCTGCACTAGCATTCACACATTCATGACACAAGAAAACAATGAAAAAAATGAGATTTTTATGTTGAGCCTATTGGATAAAAAAAAATCATTTGTTTCAACAGAGAAGACAAAAAAATACTTTAAACTGTATTTTTGTTTTGTGGATTTTGTCTTCCTCCTTTCATTTACATGCTACTGCTATGGAGACTAGAGGTGCTGTCAAAGTGAAAAACAGCTGATCACTGTGTCAGGTAACTACAGAGAGTGGAGCATCTTTAAAACTGGTTAAGATCTTTTGAGTAAAACCAATCATTATAAAATATGACCACCCTTACCAATTAGAAAAAGATAGTTCCCAGGGGTTTCACTGCAGGACCCATAATAAAGCAGTGCATGTGCATTAAACGTGGTGAGTGGTTTTTCTTCCTCTTTTAATTTTATTCGATGTGAACAGATCTTTTGTTTTCTTTCATAGTTCACTGGTTTGCTGGTGGCTGTAAAAAAATTGTATTTACATAATTATTGTTGTGGTTGGAGGTTTATATAAACTCAATGCATCAATGAAACTGATATTGTTTTTCTATTTTTTTTTCTTATTTTATTTAAACCATGCATTATTCAGATCATCCAATTA